TGCAGTCAGCTGAAGTAGACTGCAGTGCTGCATTTAACCACTGCGCCACCTCGGCTCTTAATATGAGCTGAGGTGGCGCATAGTATATATGGTATAAGTATAAGGGTATATATGAGTATAAGAAATATACACACAGGCTTAGATAAAACTTTATATGCCTACCATTTATTATAGCACATATATCTAGATTTTACAAAGCTGTGTATAAAATCCACTGGATCATGACAGCTTAAGTTCCTACTACATAGAGTTTATGTAACTGTAGATATCACATTTTATATAATTTTAGGTATTATCTCACAACCAGACATATATTGGATTACTGTACATTTATGGGTCCAAATCAGGCTGTTTTATACACATTTTAATTTGGTTTTAATTTTTTATTTAATGATTTCTTAAGATAGACTATTTTATAGGTGTCACTGCTACATTTCTTGTATTGGTCTACAATAAAATGACATACACCCGTACCAATATTAGCTACAGCATCCTTTCCTGTGGAGGTCAGGAACAACACAGTTTAGGAACTGTTCCACAATAACATGGCAAACAGGCCAACAAGGGAAATTTAATGTAATGCCTGCTGCCACAGTTCAAAATGCATAGTTAACAAAGGAATGAATACTTCTCTGTATTGACTACCCTAAAGCTTTCAACGTTCCTGTTGGATTTGCATCAAACCCTTCGCACTGAACCATTAGTACAACACCTGGGTGTGAAGCAAGCATTTTAATGAGTCAGAAGGTAGAGAGAGGATTAGCTGGGCAGTGGCCTGGATTCAGAATAAAAATATGGGAATGAAATACAAGGTTTAAGATTGTTTCAAGAGTGACTTCAGCTTGGATTTAGCCTGGAGTGTGTCTTCTCATTTTGCATACCATATTGAGTTGCATCAGTAGGAAAAAATGAGAAATAAGCATAAATAAGGTCCAGTAAAATTGTATGTGTGGGGAAATTCATTTTCCTCCCTCCCTCAGCTGGGTGTTTTTAGGAAAAGTGTTGCTGTGAGATCCTCATTGCATGAATCAGCTTAAGGATCTCAACACAGGAAGGGTTAGGCCTTTATTCTGACTTTAATTGAGATAATTTCTTCTGCCCTAATGAGAATAACTATTAACAAATCCTATAAATTTGATTAAAAGTTTATTTATGGTCAACTCTGTCCATGAGATGAACATTCAGTTAATTCATACAATAAGCTAAAGCTATCACTCAAATTAACAAACATCCTATGTTCCCTCCGTTTTGCAATAAAATAAACCATATCATGGTTTTAACACGATCTGCGTCTAGGTTTGCTGCCAAAAATAAATCCCAAAACTATGAAATATACATACAGGTATATTATTAATTTGTTTAGGAATACCATATAGGAATAGGGTTTTTTGGAATATTTGTTTAAGAATAGTTTTGCTAGTATGGTACTTCATTGGTAGTGTCTGTTATGCACTATTAATGTAGAATCATCTCCCTTCTGAAATTTGGAAGGTATTTGCTATATAACTTTTTAGTTGCCTGTTAAAAATTCATCTCTTCATTCAGGCCTTCCTGTTATGAATATTTTAAGAACATTTGCCCTCTCCAGTGTTTAGTAAATATTTTATTTACTAAATATTGTTTCATAGCATTTTAAAATATTGTTTACTTTACTGTTTTAATTGTAAATCATTATGAAATACTTTGGCATAGGAAGCAGTATAAATATGACACATTTGATATTTTATTCTCTCTTTAAACCTTGCATTTTAAAAGGCTTTTCTAATTACATTTGCTTGTTATCTAGAATAATATAAAAGCAGGATAGTCTAGTGGTTACAGTGCCGTTCTTTGATGTTGGAGATTGGGGTTCTGATCCTGGCTGGTACTATTCCAATATACCTGTAGAGATCCTTGGGCAAACTTTTTTTTTTAAAAAAATCACTGAGTAGCAAAGATTTTCAGAAATCAGCAAAAAAAACACACCCCGATTTCTCCTAAAAACTTAAATAAATTAATAGTTAAATTAAACACTTAAAATATTTTAATTAAAAAACAAAGTATTTTAATATAGTTAATATATAGATATATAGATAGCTATATAGATGGATATAGAATATAATTCTTTATTGGTCAAGTATGGTTGGACATACAAATAATTTGTTTTTTGTGCATATACTCTCACTGTACATAAAGAAAAATAAAATAGAATACATTCATCAAGAATCATAAGTTATAACAGTTAGTGATAGTTATAGGTTACTAATAAGCAATCAAATTATACTAGGAAACAAATAAAATAAATTTTAAAGATAGAAGTAACCTGGTAATAAGTGGAAAGAGATAGGTACTAGGAAGGAAGATGATAATGATGATGATAATAATAATGATAATAATGTCTTGGTAGATAATTTGACAGTGTTGTGGGAATTGGTTGTTTAGGAGAGGGAAAAACTGTCCTTGTATCTAGTTGTCCTGGTGTGCAGTGCCCTATAGATATACAATATATATATATAGATATAGATATACAAAAAAAGTATTTCCGGATCATAGCTTAGCCTATTCAAAACGTTAAATAAATAACCCAC